CAGGAATGTCTGTCTTGTTTATTCTGGACCCTATTTGGAAATTGGCATCTTCTGAAATTTGTGAGAAACTGGCAAAATTGCCAATTTCTAACCACTTTATTGGATAGTTGAAATTGGTAAATGGGTGGTTTCTTGTACTCATTCGATAGAAAAAAATGGAATTCTAGCAAAATAAATATGATTTTTGTCGACTAGTACACAGGAATTGGCCGAAAATAGGGCCCAAATTGGGCAAAATCGCCGATGCGTAAACATCGTCGAGACCGCTAACTTCGTGAGAGCATAATTCCGTAAGTTTTCCATCAAATTTCATACTTTTGGTGTCATTATGATCGGGAAAAGATTCTCTATCATTTCATAAGAAAATTTTTTTTTTCTGAAAAATTTTCGAACTTGAGAACGAGTTTAGGAGAGGGCCTCTCAACCCTGAAACGGTCCAAGTTAAAGGCTATAAATCATATTACAAAATAAATACACCTCTAGAGGTGGTTAGGGGGATATTCAGGTTTGATCTGAAGAAGTGATTGAATCTGCTCCAGTTCTGCAGATCAAGAGTCCTTCACCTATGACTAGGGTCCTGCCACATTAATAAAGACTGATAAAATATTCTCTCAGAAAAAGTGAGAAACTACAATGCTACAGTGGCTAACTTCAAAACAGTCTTTAACTACAGTACACATATGGCAAAATTCTTAAACCTGTTCACAACATGCATTAAATCAAAATTTTAGTCTGTTGGAGAGCAAAAAACACTTAAGAGATAATATACGAGATACATACTCTTCTTTAGTGTGGCTTTCAAAGCTAAAAAGTACAAGTTACTACACTTAGAGTGAAAAATTATAAATACCGACTGATAGAAAAAATGAGGAGGCACTACAGAGATCATAAAAGGCTAAACGACAACATTATAAGATTTTTAGTACCATTAACAAGAATAAGTAACCACTATTGAAGTGAGTAAAAATCCTGTACCAAAAGAATACAACAAGTCCTCAACTTACAGACACATTGAGAATCTTCTGTATTGTGTATTATATCATTATTATATCATTACACACAATACAGAAGATCCCCAACGTGTTCGAAAGTTGAAAACTTCCTGTAATAGAAAATTTTTCTCAAAATACAGTAGTGACAGAATACTAGACTGGAATCCAGAAGAAAGTATGTGCTAATATGCTACACCCAATGGAACTAACTCAAATTATATGACAAATTAAACATTGAAGACATGTCAAACAAAGCATCTACTCCTGTAACTACAATTAGGTTGTCACACGTCTAGAGCAATGACTTTTCTACAACAGCCTAATTTACATGTTTTTTTAATTCCCTTTAGCCAGTAACCACAAATGTAACTACAGAATCTGGCTTATTGTACAATCTAACAGCATCCAAAAATCAATGGAAGTCATATTGTTTAAAAAACAAAATTAGATTAAATAACTTTTCTTTAGGTAGTCAAGAAACTAGTGAATGTATACTTTGTGCAGGGCAAGGTTTCTTCATCAAGTTATAAGATTCAATCTGCTTTTGCAAAACCATAGTGAAACAAAACTGAATTAAATTTCTGGGAAGGCATTTACACAAGTCATGCAGAGTAGTATATTTAGCCACCTCGCATAAAATCTGAAACCTGGCTTTGTACTGCACAAGTGACTAAATTTTTATAAACTTACTGTGATAAAAGTACGTATAATGAAATTTAAATTAAGATGTTAAGCTGATCATTAACAGCTTATAAGCAACAACAATATACAAGTTTCCCTCGCTTTACGTAAATTCGTTACGTGTGAATTCGCTTAAATGTAGCAACCCTACTTCTACCAGGAATGCGCTCTCAAGTGACTGGAGTGGGTGGTCCGAGTTTTCACTCTTATGTTATCACCCAAGCACAGCATAACCCTATTTTTACTAATATCTCATAAAATATTACTAACTTGATTTATACCCTATATTCATATGGCTTAAATAGAAAGAAAACAAATTTTGGCATGGCGAGTCCAATGAGCGGATGTAGTGTGCTGAAGGTAGTGGCGAGTGTGAGGAATTGCGTTATGTGATGTCCCACTTCTCACCCGTTAAACACGTCCAAGACACATGAGCCCTGGCTTCCCCCTCCCAAGGCTCCCATATTAACACAATGTAAATAATAAAAGAGGTAGGGAGACAGTGAGGGAGGTAGTGGGGCAGTGAATTAGTGAGTGAGGCAGTGAATTAGTGAGGGAAGCAGTGAGCCAGAGGAGGAGATAAGGAGGTAGTAAATCAGTGAGGGAGGCAAGGAGGCAGTAAAGGAGGGAGGGCGTTAGAGGCAGGGAAGGCCACTATCCTTGGCATCTAGCCCAACCCACCTACCATGCCACCCCACTCAAATCAACTGGGGCCTCCCTCTACAGCTCACTGGCTTCCCACTCACCACCATCCTTCACTAACCATCCAGCTCTCCTGCCCCCCCCCCCCTGCCTGTCAACCAGTCTTTATCAAATAGATGTGAGCTCTTTAAACATGTATAAAAAGGGACATTCACAAAGTATGAATGCATTTGGAAAAAATCAGAAATAAAATAATGTGGAACATGTAACGTTTCAGAATGAATCCCTATCTTTTACATGTTATAATATGCTTGCTATATGCAATTTCACTTTATGCACCACTAGCCAGGAACATGCCTATTGCATAAGGCAAGGGACACCTGTACAGTAAACTCTCATACAATAGAAAAATCACACTGCAATTTTGTATTAATGAGAATAAAAAAAGTAAACCAAAATTTCAGTGTACAAACCCAAAACACTAATATGTGCTGTAAACATAAAAAAAAAAAAAAAAAAAGTATAATTTCAGTAAAACCCCATCCTTGTAAATTTTCTCAATCTGCTCACCAGGATACAAGTGGTGCCCCTAAGCCTCCTACCATTAATATCAAGCAAGAGCAAATCATATCCACTAGACAGCATTTTTCTTAAATAACGTTTCTTAAAACTTATATAATTCATGAATGCTTAAGCTCTAAAATGCCTGTATCAAGAGTCTGAAAAGAATACTGAATGTGAACTAATATAAAAAATCCACAGAAGTTCAGTATCATACACAATCATCACCACACTAATTATACATTTTTATGCCTTTTACTGTGATTTATCTACTTTAGCTGTATTTTTACGTGTTGAAAATGTTGGAAACTGGTAATAAAGGGTGCTTAAATAAAGTTGTTGTTGTTCTTTCAACAAACTGGTCATATCCCACTGAGGCAGGGTGATCCAAAAAGAAAAACGAAAGTTTCTTTTTTTAAATTAAGCAATATATACAGAAGGGGTTACTAGCCCCTTGCTCCGAGCAATTTATTCGCCTCTTACGACACGCATGGCTTATGGAGGGAGAATTCTGTTCCATTTCCCCATGGAGTTAAACGAAGTTATTTAGTGGGAATGCAGTATATATCATGACTTAGACGTAAGCAGCCACGACACTGTTGACTGCCCAAGCACATCAGTGAATTTGGAAGATTCCCCACATCTTGATATATAAGGTAATGTAATATTTGTTTGACTGTCTAATAAAATGAGGGGAGACATATGGGCAAGTCCCCTGGCATCTGCTGCCCCTTTTCACATGTCAATACAAAAGTAATATTTTCAGAGAGGTGGATGCACGTTAATTTTCTGTTATATCAGACTTCACTCTGGTATGGCTGACTCACTTTCTCATCCGCTAACCATGGTATTATTGGCCCATCGTGCATAAATCATGTGAAATTAAAGTTGTAAACATTTCAGAAATTTACTGAAAAGTTTGACAAAATCTGCATTCTCACAATATTACTGAGAACCAAAGTCAGAATCAGCAGGTGGAGGTGGGGATGGGTATTTCCCCTCTAATACCTTGCTCACTCTGACTTTGGCTGAAGAGTGTAGTGTAGCAGACTTCTTACTTTCTTTTCCACATAAGACATTATTGGCCTCTCACTCATGCATAGATCACATAAAATAAAAGCAATACACAGACTTCAGATATTCAATATATTGAAGAATTAAAGGCAAATATCTGCAATCTCACATTATTACTGGGAGTTCAAGCCAGCTATCAGATCTCTCCAGATCTCCCAGACATAGCTTCCCACATCATTTAATTACAGTATTAATTTATTTAACTTGGTTATTACTTTTCTAAATGCATTCACCTTTAGTATATCTTTGTTTGGTATAAGTATAGCGAGTGCTTATGCATATGGTGCAATTTGGTGAGGAAATATGGATTTTAATTTTACAATGCTGACATGCACTTAGCGTGCGTCAGCTGATCAACCATCCTACATCCAGCACACCCTAGTGGGCTCCCGTTAACCCTCCCAATATTCTTCAAGTAGTAGCTAAGTAAAAATGAAAAGCTAACTGCAGCAATTTTTATGTAGTTGTATAGTAACAGAAACTGACTGACAAATTTGGAAGTGTCTGGAATGTAATCCTATTCCCCCCACAAGTTCTTCACTTTACACAATGTTGTTTTTCATAAGGTGTCAATTTTCAGGTTCATAACTTGCATGCTATGAGAGGATTTACTGTATTAACTGCATTATTGGAGAATTACATAGCATCAGTACATTATATATATGCTTATAAAGCATAGTGTGTGCTCCTCTAAGTCAAATACAGTAATTTTTTCTAGCTTATGTAAATTCACACAGTATAATACTTCAATCACATAGCTCATATCTAAAGCATTTTTGTGAAAGTTAGTGATTTACTAATTATTGTATCCATTTGTGCTATCCCATAAAACTCATGCAAATATTAGTAATGTGCTTATATTCCACCAACCTGTTAGCAAGCAGTTAATATCACACAACCAATCAATTTTTATGACTAATTAGTGTTCCAATTATGGGTAACTATTTTAGCAGCTGTTCCGAAAAAAAAAAATCACATTTCACATTTACTTCTTGTGATGCCAACTTCTACCAAGCCTCTGTGGCCATGTGTTGCTACACTGGCCCTCACCTGAGAGTTGGAGAGCCTTCTAGTGTACTGGTTGTTCTCTATAGCTGAGTTACACGTCTGTTGCCTTGAGTGGCTTCCTCTTCTCCCTCCATAATGTTGCTGCAATGTATCATCTGCCTGTGTACCATTTAACCGTCTACTGTGGCAGCATTTACCTCCATGACCAACCATCACCCATTAGTCAAACAAATATTATGCTACATTAATTAGCTCATATAAATAAGCCCTTTATTTCAGCCTTAACCCATGGACTAAGATGTTTCCAATGATGGTCACACTTCAGATGAAAACCCTGTTAAATACTGATTAAGAGTTCACCTCCAACTCCACTTTCAATAAAAAATGCATGTTAACTACATATATACATAAAACACCCTTTTAATAATAAACAAAACTTGGAACACTCTTTTTAAACTTGTTTACCAGCGATGTTCAAGGTTAGAAATAATTTTTATTATTATTTTTTTAGTAGCAGTAGTAGTATATTGATTTGAACTGACAAAACCCTTTTGGGGTCACTCAGAACAAGGAATGATGGAGGCTTGATCCTCCCATTTCTTATTTTGGTAATTGAAAAAATTTAGATTCACAAAGTCTGTGGTTGACAGTGATTAAATACTGTACTGTATAATAAAGAAAAATAGCTTATCTGTAAACAGACCAAAAAGAAAAATTTCAAAGTTCTTTATCAAACAGTTCATAGGATTGAAGAGTGCCACTAGCCTTTTTATTTTATATAAATTCTGTTAAATAACTGATTACTCAACAGTAACATTGCTTTCAAGTTAGACAGCTAATACACTTCTCTAATGTCATGTTATTTACAAATACTGTAGTTTCTCTCAGTGATTAATAATAGGATTCAAGGAATATCACCCTAAAGTATAGATCTTAATAAAATAAAGATCTGGTGATATTATAAAAAAAACAATAATAATTACCAATAGCATGATGATAATGACAATGTTTGGATTATGCTATTTTAAATGAAGTTATTTCGTCCACCTGGGACATAAGTTCATAAATTGCCTGGGTCCTGGTGAAAGAAATGTCTTCAAATAAAATGCCATAACTCACACAATGTGCCATCTTCATCTGATGATCTCGCCAAGACAAAACTATTACAACCCCATGAAATTTAAATTTAACTTCATGAGATCTTAATTATATCAGATTCAATGACATTTTCTACAGTAATGACAATTTTGCAATTTGTCACTTATAATATCATGTAAAAGTTATAAATACAATATACTACATGTTATTTGTTTTATTTATACAAGCAACATCTTTAAATTTTGCATACACATTAGAAAATATGACTAGGAAGACTCGCAAAATCATAATAAAAATAATTTATGACTAGGAAGGGCATGAATGTATTGATGACACAACAAAAATTTTCATCTTTAAATAGTCTGAATAAAGGATGAGCAAGTACTTATATAAATATACCTGTGGCGATGAGGCTTGGTTGGATTGTTGTGACATTTGTGAAGTTCTACGTTCGTTGTCAGAATAATGATTGCAGCCCATACGGCGGGTGACAGGTTGCTCGTCGTCTTCATAGACAGCCTGAGAGTATTCATAGTCATCATCCAAGGACTGCCCATAGACATCCTGTAACATCGCAGTAATCTAAAAACACATCAAACCCCAATGTGTAAATAAAGATTCATGCTGCACATTGTTTGCCGTAAAAAAAAAAAAGAGATAGTTTTTAATTATTGTTACTGTACAAAATACTATAAATACTGGTAATTTCTTGTATTACAATAGCTATTTTTAAATAACTTTCAAGCAAAGGATAAAACAAGCTAATTTCAATAATGCATTCCAGTATATTTTAACACTACTGTTCGGCAGTACCAAAACTTCATGAATCAAAAGATACACAAGTCTGAAGAGACAAAAGTTTGGAAAACTATTGAAAAATTCAAGCACAATATTATGTTCATTCCAAAGACAAAGATATACACCAAGCAAAAATCACTACTGTATTTTTAATCAAGAATAAACTAGCATCATGGAGTCCAAACCACTACAGAACTGCTGTAGACTTAGAAATAAAAATTGGCTGAAAATATGAAAGAAAAAAAAAAATTCATTCTAAGCATGGCATGCAAAGAGATAATAGGTTTCAGACTAGGCCTGTTAAAAAGAAAATAAAGTTGCAGTCCACTGTAAGATGGCAGCAACCATGCACTAAGTTTTTTCATATAGATTTTCTAATAAAAATACTTTTATGCAATATAAATCCCTGTACACGTACTTTTGTTTCAAACAGGTACATACCAGTGCAAATACCAAGATTATACCAAAGGGTATTGTAAATGCTCCCCTTTTAACTTCATGTTCAAAATATCACAGGAACAAACTTGTGTAAAAAAAAAAAAAAAAGTTTAATGAGTTGCAATCTTAGTTTAATTCCTCTTTCAAGATTATTTAAGAAAGGCTATTGCTATCGAAGATGTGAATAAAGTGTAGGTAGCATTCTTCCAGCAGTTATAGATCTTTAATACAATCAAAGCAACTATATTAACTAAAATGTGTTAAATTTTTCTATATTTTGTTTAAAATTAACTAACAGCTCTCAGTAATTTTAAATTTCCTGTAATAAAAATAAAATACTGTATCTGTAGATATTGGATAAATGCTATAATTCGTAAAGCACAAAATTACTATTTGTTTAACATTACAACAGCAACAATAATGAAACTTAGGACAGACTTCTCAAAATCCTGACAAAGTTATCTACCAAGGGTAACTAACATTTTCTAGCTCTTATTGCCCTTATATCCAGATACTACTTCTACGACAATTTTTCTCCCAGAAAAACCTGCAGTGCTATAGCTACAACTAGTACATTTCATAACAGAATTATTTACATATACAGTACATATTTATATTACAGTATGTACCCAAAGTGATTGCCAATATACAGGAACCAGTGTTAAAAAAGTACAGTATCTTAGAGCAGTTCTGTGCACTGTAAATTTTCAAACATTTTTAATGTTATAACTCATCACTCAATTCATATAAAAACTAAATTTATAACCTACCAAGGATTAGTACGATGCCTGAAAGGTACATCTGGGATGAAATCAACCCAGTTGTTCAGTTTGCAAAATAAAGTAGAACCCCCGTATCCACAGATTTGGTTTCCATGGTTTCAGTTACAGTAGCCCAAAAATAGCCCTTATTTTGCTTAATAACGGCCCCAAAGCGCAAAGGTATTTCTGGCAGTTCTTCAAAGCCTAAGAAAAGCTGTGAAGTACTTCCCATCTGTGAAAAGTGCTAATTCTCGACTAATTGTGTGCAATTTATCAATTAAATCTTATAGGTATGTATTTTTTTTTTTTTTTCAACAAGTCGGCCATCTCCCACCGAGGCAGAGTGACCCAAAAAAGAAAGAAAATCCCCAAAAAGAAAATACTTTCATCATCATTCAACACTTTCACCACACTCGCACATTATCACTGTTTTTGCAGAGGTGCTCAGAATACAACAGTTTAGAAGCATACACATATACACACAACGTAAAATGACACATACAGGGTTCGGTACTAACCACAATAAGTCTTGGAACGTATCACCTGCGGATACGGGGAAACTGCAGTATTTCAATAGCTCTTCAGTACAGTACATGACACTCAACAATACTTTTCAATATTGTACTAATGAGAAACTATGAAATGATATCAACTTGTCTTCTACCCATCTACAACTACAACTAAGACTGCATAAAATGAAATGCAAGTGTTCCAGAGTTAGGCAATGGCTATCTAGAGAAACAAATTCTCAACACTGCATGCTGCCCAAATTAAGCCCAGAGGTAACAAAAAACGCACAATACCGTGACTGGAACAATACACAAATAACCCGCACATAGAAGAGAAGAGCTTACGACGACATTTCAGTCCGACTTGGACCATTTACAAAGTCACACTAATGAAAAGGAGAGCAGGATGGGTATATATATATGCACATTCACTACTTTTCTTATCATGCTTCCTCTGTCAAGAAAAGTGTTCTTGTCTCCCTCTTTCTCCGTGCTCTCCGCACATTTGATCCTCAGTTCCTTCAATCCGAAATTTCCACTCTTCATAATTCATTTTCCCGTCTTGGCTACCCTTCCCATTTCATTGCCTCTGCCTTCTCACGTGCTAAACGTAGTTTCTTCTCTCCCAAACTCTCTACTCCTGGGAACTCTTCTGTCCTCTGCCTTCCGTACATTTCCGGTCTTTCAAATCTCAACAACTCTCTCCATTCCTTAGACATCAAACTTACTTTCCGCCAGACTAACACTCTTCGCACTAATCTCATTCATACCTCTCCTCCCTCTACAGATGCTCCTGGTGTCTACTCTATTTCTTGTTCCTCCTGCCCTCTTCAATACTTTGGAGAAACTGGTCAATCTCTTTCCAACAGACTTAGGGAGCACAAAAATAGTGTTAAACTTGCCGACACTAACAATGCTCTTTTCTGTCACGTCAGAGATCACAGCCATCCTATTGACTGGTCTTCTGCTAAAGCTGTCTTCCCTTCTTCCAACTTTAACAGTCACTGTCTGGTCGAATCCTCCCTAATACACAACTTTCCTTGTATGAATCTTAGTCCTGGCTTCGTCTCTGTAGATGCCTTCCTCTCCCACTACATTGTAAAATGCTCCAAACTTCAGAACACTCGTGACCTAACCTGATTCCTCCCTTTTTTCTTCTCCTTCTTCCCCTTTCCTCTTTCCTTTTTCTCCTTTGGGTTGTCTTTCTTCTGCGTATTTGTTCCTTCTTTATTTATTTATCTGTTCCCCTCCCCCTTGGTGTTCTTGCTCTTACCCTTTGTGGGCACCTAGCTCCCCTGCAGGGCTCCTCTTTCTTAGTATTTGACTGGCCCCTCCTACTCTTACTACCTCCCCACTACTACTTCCTTCCCTCCACTACTACCACCACTACTACTACTACTACTACTACCACCTCTTGCCTATAATACCCATCCTGCTCCTTTTCGTTAGTGTGACTTTGTAAATGGTCCAAGTCGGACCGAAACGTTGTCGTAAGCTCCTCTCTTCTATGTGTGGGTTATTTGTGAATAAGCCAAGAGGAATAGAAATTGGATTTCTAGTTAATCAAAATGTGATAGGAAAAAAGTAGAAGTTATGAGGAAATAAGCCTACTGAGTATACCAAATACACTGTACAGTACAATTATTATTGAAAATGGTTAGGGGTAAACCAAAGCAGGAATGTAGAGGAACACAGGATTTAGGAAGGGTAGAGGATATGTAGACTGTTTACAGTGAAGTATATAAGTGTATAATACTTAGATAAGGATAAAGAATAGTTTGTCACATTTACATAATTAGGAAAGACATAATTGGGTGGATAGGGAATAAATGTGGCAGATGTTGCCAACCAATGAAATAGGTAGTAGGTTAATAAAAGTACAGTGGAACCTCCACTTGCAAGCGCATCCATGTGCGAGTTTTTCCAAATACGATCAGTCGATGGGTTGAGTTTTGCTTCCATACGCGAGCAAAATTTCCATAAGCGAGCAGACCTCAAAGGAGGTTCCTTGACGCTGGTGAGGGACTCTTGCTCTTGATCTAGGGAATTGTATCTCATTTGTTTGTTGAACTATCTTATTGAAACTTGGGCAATGTATGATGGAAAGATACTTCTTAATGTACACCAAAAATGAAAGAAATCGAAGTATAAATAATGGAGTTCGCTTCTCAGCAATTAGCCACCCATTAGTGGTATTTTCGTATGGTTTTTATGGTTGTGTTCTCGTTTTTTTGGTTTCATTTGATAGAATAGAAGATATATTACAGAAATAGATATGATTTTGATTGCTTTCATGAGGAAAAGTACCTTGAAACTGAGCTCAACGAGGGAGAAATGCTCATTTGCTTGACTATGTTCAAGAGTAAACAAATGACATCACTGTCCATTCCAATATGCAGTCGTGAATGGGTTGACATTATTTATACAATTATTGCAATAAGGCATAACGGTAAATCTTATATTTTTTGTGTGAATAAAAATTACAAATTATTTATATTGTAATAATAATAATAAAAATAATAATAATATGTATAACAATAATACATACGTTGTTGAAAAAAAAAATAATAGTATAATAATCTAATACAATAATAATAATAATATAATACATATAATAATATAATACATATAATATTATAATACATATAATATTATTTTATTTTTATTATCACACTGGCCGATTCCCACCAAGGCAGGGTGGCCCGAAAAAGAAAAACTTTCACCATCATTCACTCCATCACTGTCTTGCCAGAAGGGTGCTTTACACTACAGTTATAAAACTGCAACATTAACACCCCTCCTTCAGAGTGCAGGCACTGTACTTCCCATCTCCAGGACTCAAGCCCGGCCTGCCAGTTTCCCTGAACCCCTTCATAAATGTTACTTTGCTCACACTCCAACAGCACGTCAAGTATTAAAAACCATTTGTCTCCATTCACTCCTATCAAACACGCTCACGCATGCCTGCTGGAAGTCCAAGCCCCTCGCACACAAAACCTCCTTTACCCCCTCCCTCCAACCTTTCCTAGGCCGACCCCTACCCCGCCTTCCTTCCACTACAGACTGATACACTCTTGAAGTCACTCTGTTTCGCTCCATTCTCTCTACATGTCCGAACCACCTCAACAACCCTTCCTCAGCCCTCTGGACAACAGTTTTGGTAATCCTGCATAATGTAATAATAATACATATATAATAATAAGGTACTACATAATAATTATAATAATAGACGGCTTCAAAAGGCCATCACTAGATGGCAGTGTTTACCACAACAAAGAGGGAGCAGTTGTGGCTGCCACCACCTGTTACATAATGACATATTTTATTCATTCTAGAGT